TGTAGTAGGGAGGATAAACAGTAGAAAGGCAAGCAAAAGGAAAAAAAAAAGCAGGTGATAATAATACATACCCTATAGGTCAAATGTCTATATTACTGGTCATCAGAACTTTTTTGAGTATAAAAGGGAGAACTAATAATTACACTTGCTCAATAGCAGTGAACTGGGAATGTCCCAGGCAAACTGGGACATATGATTGCCTTAATTAAAGGGCAGTTTTCAAGAATAAATGAGCACTGAGTGGGTATTCAAAGAAAAGGAGCTAAAATTAATAGCTACCAAACTCTTTCACCAAATATTAGATTTAGAACATATTAGTGGTCTGTAAACTAAAAATAATACTATGAAAGAATAAACTAGGGACTGCTAGAGTAAACTGAGGTAGATTGATTCTTTACTTAAAGAGTTCTTCGAGTTTTTAATAAGCTAATCTGCTTTAAGAATATCTAAGCATTATTTATGGTATGCAGCATTTTGTCAAAGTCATTTGTCTATACATTTTATTTTTTCAAGGAGATAATGTTATGTGACTCCATTCCCATGGAACTCAATATGGGGAGTAACAGTCCAGGAGAAAGGTGGGGTTCAGGGATAGAGTGGGTGATACATGTGATTTCAAGCTTTGATCCAGAAATGTAGTTAGATTGCTGGGTAGATAACTCAGTGGTGTGAGGAGTTCCAAACCACAATTTAGAAGCAGTGTCACTCTGATTTACCTGCTTTCAAAATGTCAAGGTTGTTCTGATCTCCTGGAGATGCAAGGAAGCCTTTTCCCATTTTCCCTGAAAATTTAATATTTGCATTGTTCTTGTGGTTCTATGGACTTCAGTTTAATGCCTGGGATTTTTTTNACAAGTGGAAGTCTGACAGCACAAGGTCAGGCGAGTATGGTGGGTGTGGCAACACATCCCATCCAAGCTCCAATAATTTTTGACAGGTGATCAAACTTGTGTGTGGCCTCGCATTGTCCCGATGGAACACAACTCCTTTACAATTAACAAGCTCTGGATGTTTCTAGATGATGGATTCATTCAAACTGTCCAATTACCAATAGTACACATTCGAATTGATTATTTGGTTCCTTGGTAGGAGCTCAAAAAATACGACACCTTTAAAATCCCACCACACTGAGAGCATGACCTTCCTCTGATGAATGTCTGCTTTCGATGTTGTTTGAGGCGAATCATCACATAGGGACCAAGACCATTTGCACACCACATTGTTGTAAACAATCCACTTCTCATCACCAGTTATCAGTCGCTTCACAAAAGGATCGTTTTCCTCACGTTTAATGAGTATATTGCAGATGTTTATACGCGCCGTTAAATGAACTTTTTTGAGTTCATGCAGAACCCAAATATCGAGCTTGCTTACGTATCCCAGCTTCTTCAGGTGGTCGTGATCACTTGAATGATGGATGTTTAATGTTTCTGCAATCTCTCGTGTCGTGTAACATGGGTTTGACTCGATCAATGCCTTTATTTTGTCATCAACCTCAGTGGGTCTCCTTGACTGAGGAGCATCATTGAGATCAAAATCACCAGCATGGTGAACCATCTTTGGCACTGACGTCCTTGTACAGCATTGTTACTGTAAACTTTATTCAACTTTTCACAAGCTTGACACACGTTCTTCCCTTTATGGAAGTAAAATAGTAAAATATGGCAAAAATGCACAGTTTGTTCTTCCATCTTCAACTAGTTGTAAAATCTCCAAAAGTCAACCAAATCACTCAATTTTTTTTAGAATGAAGCTAGAACTGTCAGCTGTAAAATGACATAGCAATAACATAGATGTGAATGACTCTAGTACTTCCAAAAATAAACTGGTACCATCTGTTGCAAACATGCGTCATGACTTTCCGACAACCCAATAAAATGGTGCAGCTGCTTTAAAAAACAATCTGTCAGTTTCTCAAATGATTAAAAATTATCAGCAATTCCACTCCTAGGTACACACCTCAGATAAATGAAAACAAATGTCCACACAAAAACTTGAACACAAATGTTTACAGTAACATTCTTCAAAATAGCTAAAAGATAGAAACCATTCAAATGTCTGCTAACAGATGAATGGATAAAGAATATTTGGTAGAGGGGGCC